GGGAGCCGGGGACGCCGCTGCCCCAGGGGGGGCACCCTTGGAGGGCGCACGGCGGCCCCGTCCGCCGGGGGAAGGGGGCCCCGCGATTCGACGCATTGAAAAATCGAGACGGAGGCTTGTTTCGCAAAGTGCGGCCCCTCGGGGCCGTCCAAAACGAAAAAAACTCGGGATGAGAATCTGGCCCTGGGGGCGGGGGTCGGGGCTTCCGGGGGCACCGCACGGCGTCGCATCTCTGGGGATGGGCGCGTCCGGCCCGTGCAGCCCCCCCCCCGCCCTGGGGACCCGCCCCCCCCCCCCCCCCGGCGGCGGCCCTGTGCGGCCCGGGTGCAGCGGAGCGGCTCTCTGGGCCCGTTTCCCGCGTGGGCCCGATCGGTTTGCTCAGCCCCCCCTCTCCGGCTCCTGGGGCAACCGGGGAATCCCACAGTGAAGCGCCGAGCGCCTCGCTGGCGAAGCGTTCAGCGTTTCCCTCGTGTCTGTTCGGGGGAGGCGCCAGGGATACGGAGGAGGAGGAGGTGAACAAGATGGAGGCGGCGCGGTGGAGATTGACCAGCGGCAGCAGGGTGGCGGAGGAGGAGGAGGAGGAGGAGGAGGAGGGGGAGGAGGAGGAGGAGGAGGAGGAGGAGGAGGAGGAGGAGGAGGAGGAGTGCGAGGAGGAGGAGGAGGAGGAGGACGCTGCCTCTCCCCCCCCTGGCAGCCCACCGCCCACGGCAGGGGCACACTGGAGGTGCTGCAGGTCCCGCGCTCGGCGTGGGCACCCATCTCTTTCGACGGGGCAGGGGAGGGAGAGAGCCGGGTTCGGGAGCCTGCCCCTCCCCTGCTCTCCCCACTTCGCTGCCTCTCACGCATGTGCTGTCTCGCTCCTCCTCCCTCCTCCTCCTCCTCCTCCTCCTCCTCCTCCACCTCCTCCTCCTCCTCCTCCTCCTCCTCCTCCTCCTCCTCCTCCTCCTCCTCCTCCTTCCGTAGCCATTTTGGCTCCAGTAAGATATTTCTCGAGGTGGCGCAGGGCCTTGCCAGCTCGGGGATCACAGACGCCTGCCCAGGCAGATCATGGGAGCTGTTTCTTTCTTCCCTTTACACCACCGAACATTCCCCTTTACCCTCCACTTTTCGCGTCCCCCCCCCTCGGTCTTCCACGATGGCTGATGAGCTGAATCGCACGATTCAGGCGAGCATTGCCGCGGCCATGGCTACGGCGCAGGAGGCCATCGTGACGCAGGTCAGTGCGCACATCACGACGCAGTTCGACCAGAAGTTTGAGGTCGTGCAGCAAACGCTGACGGGCCACCAGACCGCGCTCGCCACCCAGAAAGGCTCGCTCAACACCCTCATCGAGCGTGTCAACGTCTTGACGACCAAGAGCGCTGAACAAGAATCCCGGATCGCGTCCATGACCGCGAGTACGGCTTCCTCGTCTGCGGGCCCCACGACGCTCAGCTTCGCCTCCGTGGTGGCGAACGGCCACAAGAAGCAGCGCGGGCACGATGCGGTTCCAGGAGGCGACCCTTGCTAAAAGTTCGCAGGCACGTTTCCTCGACCAGTGCTCAAATCTGTTCGTCGTGCACATTGGCAGCAACTGCAAGCTCATCTTCCGCACCTGCTGGCCGTTGGAGCGACGCCGACGTTCCATACGATCTCACAATCTTGCTCGGTCGCGCGCCGACGCTGCGCGTGAATCCCAGCACGCCGCCAACCTCCAAGGCATGAGCTGGGCGGACCCCCGCGACGGTAACGTCCACGCGCTGCGCGTGCGGGCCGGCTTGCCTCTGGACGTCACGGCCAAGAAGCGATCTTTCCACGCGCCGTGCACCCCAATCCGTGATCTTCTCGAGCAGTCTCCGCATTGGCAGGAGGGCGAGTGCCAGTTTGGCGTGGACGGCTGCAATTGCGTCCTCCGCCTGCGCACCGAGGACGACGTCTGGGAGCTGGTGTCCGCGAAGCTGCAGACCCACAGGGACGGCATCGACATCTGCCACTTCGAACCGCACCTCCCCGAGCTGGAGGCCCGGGGCATCTCGGCTGAGCAGATCGCCCACATCATCGACAGTGCCCAGACCGAGGCACGCGGTGCGATGTGGGCTCAGACGTGCGACTCCAGGACAATTCGGCCTCTTCCTGGTAGTGTTGTGCAGCCGCTGCCTGGGGAGGGAGCCCAGGGATGCTCCGCTTCTGGGGAAGCTACCTCGACAGCTTGGTGCGCGCCCTTTTCAGGTTCGAGAGCGGCCTCTTCCATCGCAACTCCATCCTCGGGTGGATCGGGGTCCGGGAGGAGGAGGAGGAGGAGGAGGAGGAGGAGGAGGAGGAGGAGGAGGCCTCCTGGTGCTACCGCGTCTCTTCCTTCGGCGTCGGCGACGGGATCATCAGACCCCCTCTCCTCCCTGCTTCACTCCTCGCCCAGGCGCGGCCTTGAGGGGAGTCAGGCTGCTAGGCCCCCTGCGCGGGATAATTCTCTCTCTGTTCATTCGTCCTTGTTCCTCCCCTCTGCGTCTTCTCCCCTCTCTGTTTGTAGTTGGAATGCCCGGACTTTGTTGTGCTCCCATCACGCCCGTAATCGACGAAGCCGGTGCAGCTATCAGTTCCTCTCCTTCCTCCTCAAGCGCCGTTCTGTGGTGCGCATTCAGGAACCTCACGGGAGCGACGCTGATGCGGGCCTTCTCGGGCGTGACTTGGTCGCCACTGCTCGTCGATCTTTCATGGGCAACGAGAACGCCAGGGGGTACATTCGGGGCCCTGAAGAAGGAACCCTTTTCGTTGGGGAGGGGCTCCGCGTTCCTTAAGTGTTTCACAGCTTGCCTCAGGCTTTCCTTATGTTTTCGACAGGAAATCGAAGGTTAACTTATGGAGAAAAGGGGCCTCGTTCCTTATTTAGGGTTCCTTAGGTCAGCGCCCCGACTGTATCCTGATTGTGGTTAGGAAGCTCCTCGGTCTCGTTTCTCGTCTTGCACGCTTGTGGAAGCGGAGCCAGGCCGGGCGGGTGCACTCGTTCCGTCGAGCCCTGGGCCGACGCTCCAGGTGGCGCGCGCGCGGGCCCCGACTGGACTGAGGCTCACACGAAGTCCGTGTTGTGGCGGCGTCGTGGCCATCTTACTCCGTCGCCTCATGCTGCTACCCTCACTGCCGTGGTTTCCACTTCCTCGAAGACGGAGGTGCTCGGTACTATGCCCTCACGGGGCGTGAGGCCTTTCGAACTTCGCGGCTCGCACCGATATTCGACCTGGTCTTCCCGCAGTTCTCCGAAGTTTGCCAGCCACATGTTACGCACCGTGCGAATGCAGATACCAATCCGAACTACGCTCGCCTCGAGAGGATCTACACGAATATCCCCAGTGCTGTTCTCAGTGATTTCAATCCTGTCTCCTCCACGGCCTGGCCCATCACCAGTGCGACGAAACCCTCTGACCACTCCCCCTTCTTTCTCAGCCTCAGCGCCCCGTCGAACGAGGCCTTCGACTATGTTGCAATTCCGTCGTGGATCTCGGGGCACAGCGTGTTTCGCAGCGTCTGCGAGGATATGTCCGGGCTAGAGGACTTTTCCGAGGACCTCTTCCAGCGCCTCCTGGAGGCGAAACAGATTTGTCACTTCGCGGCCAAAAATGTGAAGTGGCACGTCCTCCACGCTGGGGCCGAAAATTTCGAAGGCAAAGTCTTAATCTGCAACCTGCCTGCGTCTTCGCGCAGCGCGCGCAGGCAAGTTCAGCGCGTGCGCGGCGCGTGTCGCTGCGTATCCCAAGCTCGCCGACTTCTTCTGCGCAGATATGCGCGGGCGGCGTGACTGGGCGGGCTCCCACCAGCACATCGCGACCATGCAGCGCGGGATCATGGATGCGAGGGCACAGGAAGTGCCTCGCAGTTCCCGCCCCCCCTGATGCGCAAGCTGCCAACTTGAATCGGATTCGCCGGCTCGCTTCAAGCTGGGCCGCCCTTCGCCCCAAGGTGTACACTCTAGGCGATGCTTAAGAAAACCCAAGTTTTCGGCCAGAGTCTCGATTATTCTTAATGTTTCAATGTAGATCCTAAGATTTGACTAGACACTCTGGGTTTTTATTCGAATTCTGAGACTATGAATTTCTTAACCCATGATTTCTAAAGCATTTCGCAGGGTGTAGTTCTGGGGCGGCGCGTTTCAGGCCGAGTCCGGGGATCAGGTGAGCGAGGACTCCATTGTGTTTTTTTCCTGCAGCAGGTCACCCCGCTCGAGGAGCCAAGCGACCAGTTCGTCTCCAGCACGCGAGCCGCGACCAGATGCTCAATCTCCTCGGACGGAAAAAGGACACTACCCCTGGGCCCGACGGCGTTCGGTTTGGCGCAACGCCCCAGTTCTGGCCCACACGCTTTTTCACGACGCTTTCCAATGCCTGGTGACTGAGCATCGTACCAGCAGGGAGTTTAACAATTGTCGAGCTGCATTTCCGCCTAAGGGAGATCTGGTTTCAGGGAGCGCTGAGGTTCGCGGTCCATGGCACACGCTATCGAATGCCGATAACAAGATTTGTTCGTCGATGCTCGCCATGCCGCTGAAGAGTGTCGCTGCTGATGTCGTCGAGCCATGCCAGCGGGGATTCGTGACGGGGCGATCGATGCTCGATGACATCATCGAAATGGACACTAGCTTATTCTCGTGGCCCCACACAATAGGCATTACTGATGATGGGAGCTGCTTGTTCGACTTTAAGAACGCCTTCCCGAGCGTTTACCACAGGTGGATGTTTGCAGTCTTAGGTAAGATGAGTGCCCGAGGCGGTGGCGGGGGCAATTCCGGCGCTTTGTTCTAGGGTCTGGACTTTCATTGGCGCGGGCAGCTCGTTTCCTGCAGGCTTCTGGGCCCAGAGGAAGATGAAGCAGGGGCGCCCGCGATCTGGAGTTCTGTTTGCCCCGATCCTGAACCCTGTGCTGAAGGCCATACCCATCCAGAAAAGCTGCCATGAGTTGGTGCTGTGTGCCTTTGCAGACGATCTCGGTCCAGTAGCTCGCAGCCTCTTCGCGGTGCTCCCGATGATTGTTCGGCTGCTGCGGCGCGCTGCCGCGGCGGCGGGACTGGCTCTCCACTTCGGCACGTGCGTCATCATACAGTCGGGGCCCTGAAGAAGGAACCCTTTTCGTTGGGGAGGGGCTCCGCGTTCCCTAAGTGTTTCACAGCTTGCCTCAGGTTTTCCTTATGTTTTCGATAACAAATCGAAGATCAACTTATGGGAAAAAGGGGCCTCGTTCCTTACTTAGGGTTCCTTAGGTCAAGGCCCCGACTGTATTTCCTCGCCGGTTCGTGGAGGCGGAGCTTCGGGGTCAGTTCCGCGCCCACGGGTTAGACGTCGCGGACTTTCGGATCTCAGAGTCGGGCAAACACTTGGGCGTATACTTGGGCCTTGGAGGCAGTTAGAAGTCGCGGGCGGCCCCCCTTGCGACTTCGCGGGGACGAACCCACATGGTGAAAAGTTTGGGGCTCAGTTTTGTACATTCCGTGGTTGCCTGGAATCGGTGCGCCCTCCCTGTCGTCGGACATGTTGTTCAGATCTTCCAGCCCCCGAAAGAAGCCAGGGCAGTGGTTCGGGAGTGTCACCATCTCCTCACTAGTGCTGCTCGGCATTCGTTTCCTCCTCCGGTCCTCGACAACCTCCCCAGGCTACAATTTCCTGTCCAACTCCTCGTTCAAGAACTGGCGGCACGGAGCGCACAGGTGCGAGCGAGTCTTTTACCACCTGCGCTTGACAGATGTGTTGGTGAGCATCGCACAGCTTGGCA